TTATGGTAATTATAGTGGTACTTAAAGTTGATTGAATACAAGCAATACCGAGTTGTGTTTGCATGGCGTTTTTTATATTCGTATGTTATTCGACTTTGGCAAGTACGATAAAATGCATAACGATGCCCAGAAAAAAAAAAAAAAAAACTCGACTCACCCGTGGTTTTCTTGGTTGCATGTTTTCTTTCATCGGTTTTGCGAGGGATTCTCACGCAGAGTGTACTCAGCATTACATGTGTGAGCGCCCTGACCGCGATCCCGATCGAGACAACGGTTATGTTTCTTTCCTGTCAGACCTGATCGCGATCGCGATCGAGACAAGGGCTATGTTTCGTTCGTGTCAGACCTGATCGCGATCGCGATCTGCTCAGAGGATCGCTGCCTCAGTGCATCATACGCCTCCTTGCAAAGTTCTTACATCACAAAATTTATGCGCATGATTTTTTATTTTTTTTTCTGAATGCAAAATACGATCGATCACCGCCAGCCTGACCCCCTATTCCAGACCAGGTTCATCTGGTTCAACCTCACACATGGTTGGCATCGATCTACAGCCGAAGCTATCATCTACTCTTACTTATTACACCACCACCACCTTTTTTTTTTTTTTTTTTTTTTTTTTTTACACGCACCTCCTTAGGTATTCCTCGCATGTGAGCTTGACCTCCGGCTGATTCCTGTCTCTCTCGATGACGGCCTTACGAATGGTTACCCCCTCTAGAGCCCTCTGCACTGTGGTCATCCGCACCCCCCTGTCCCTTGCCTCCTGCTTTACCCCTTCCATCCATATCTCAATCTCCCTCTCATCTTCCGTAATCTTTTCTTCCTTGGACATCTTCCTCTTACACGTCCGCCTCCTGCGCGATTTGTTCCTTGGAATTCTCAAATCGTTGCTAATGAGCTCGACAGACGATCCACCACCATAGCCAAGCTCCTCCTCGTCTTGCACCAGCCGCCGCCAATCCAAGGGCCAAAGCAAGTCGCCGACCAAGACCTGAGAAGAAGACACAGAGTCGTACAGGATTTCCAAGTTAGACGCAGAAACCAAGTTGCTGCCGACCTTCGAATCTGGTCCGCTTTCCGTCTTTCTGCAATCTTTTCTGTCCCCGCGGCGCCTCGGGGACGACCGGTCCTTCATCTGAACTTCCGAGGAGACGACTCCGATTGCACCGGGGAGAAGACCGGTCCTTGTCAACTCCCCTTCCGACGGAGACAATACTACCTGCAGCGACCGGTCCTCCGGAGCAGTTACCCCTCTCCCCAGGCACAGCGATTCCCCCCCCCTCCCATCCCCGCGCAAAACGGGCTCATCAGCAAAACTCGACGCGTGAGAGGAATTCAAGTCGAAGCGGGAAGCGCGTTGTGCAAGACCAGGTTCTTCCCCTCGAAATTGCCGACTGGCCCCTTCTCCATGACCATCACCATCATCGCCATGATCACCTCCTACAAGACCAGGTTCTTCCCCTCGAAATTGCCGACTGGCATGAACCTCTCCTACAATCTCTGTCAACGTTCTCGCTCTAGCAAGACATGCCATTGGCACTTGTGCTGCCCGAGTCTCTACCGAGATCGGGACAGCCCCGATCGCACTCCTCCCAGCAGGACCCCCTCTCCTCGCCCTCACCGGATCTACAGCGACTGCCATAGCTGCGAAGCATGCAAGCGACATGGCCATCATCATCATCATCATCATCGTCGACACTATTCCCGCTAACAGACGGAATACCGTGATTGGCGGACCGATATGCTGCGCACTGGGGAGCTGCACACCATTGCTCCCTACTGTGCGGCGCGCTTCGCTGCCATCAAACGATGAGAATGATGATGATAGCGACGAGGGAAAGGAGGGAAAGGAGGAAGACAAGTTGAGGTCCTCCTGTAGACGAAGACGAGCAGAGCTACGTATCGACGATCTTCTTCCGTTCAGAAGCGATGTTTGATTCCCTCTCAACAGAGCGTCGATCACCTTCCACGTGGCACCGATTATCCAGGGTGGAAACAGCTTCGATGCCGGTAAGAGTTGGTCTTCTACCTGGGCGGGAGATGCTAGAGTGTTCGACTGGCTCGGTGTCATTTCCTCCGTCGATCCATGATCTTCCAATCCAACGACGGCGGCGGCGGCGGCGGAGGAGGAGGAGGAGGAGGAAGAGTTTTGAACGCCGTGCGAGGAGCAGGAGAGGGAGGGAGAGCGAGAGAGAGGGGAAGGGCAGAACGCAGAACATCGACAGAGAGAGAGGTGTTCCCCACTGGACAGGCGGGAGACAACTTCATTGATCGTTTTGATCGAGGTTGCTGCAGAATTGTACACGTGGCACTTTTTTTCCCATTTACGCATTCTGCGACAGTTAACACCTTGTCTACATAAAGAGGAGTACGTGAACATAACGCTCAGCGGACCTGAGCAAGAAGGAGGAAGGAAGGAAGAACGGCGTAGCGAAGACACGGGTTCAAATCCCGTAAGGGACGTTGATTCGGGCGAGGGACAACAGGGAGAGGGATAATAGGGAGAGACGCAAAATGAGCGCGAAGAACGGTGGGTGAAAGTGGAGGGAGAGCATCGTCGTCGAATTGATACTAAACGCGTTCGCAAGCAAGGCGCAGAAGATTCAGGAGAGAATACGGGAACGTGAGAGGAGGAGGAGGAGGAGGAGGAGGAGGAGAGAAGGAAGGGGAGAGATTCGGACCGGGGTGCGAGCAGAAAGCTCCCCGTTCCTCTTCCTCCTCCTCCTCCTCCTCCTCCTCCTCCTCCTCCTTTACCTTCCCTAGCCCTGCTGATTAATTGAGAATGCTGCCCCCGGAGACAACCCGTTCCTAAGTGCATTGCTGCGTCTGCCCTGCACAGCAGGCGTAACATCCTCCTCCTCTCTCCTTCTCCCCTTCGCTTCCGTCGTCCTCCATCCCCGCCCACCATTCCTTGTCCTACTTGTGCCCGATCTCCTCGTGCTGTACTTGGATTTGACACCTTCGGTCGATCATTGAATGGTGGCTTGCTGATTGACCCGGAAGTCCATGCACATAGCGCTCGCGCCCTGCCATCCGCAAAGCTAGCGAAGCCATCAAAGCTGAGAGGCACCTTACTTACACTACCGCTGCGAAATTGTGGGGAGGTGTTTCGACAGCACAAGCTGCCACGTGTCTGCCTCCTGCTGGATCTTCTCTCTTGCGATCCCCTCGTCGTCGTGGGGCAAGAAGACCGGCAACGCTGCCCGCCTCCCGCCTCAGGGTAATAGCAGCACCTGTAATTCGCCGCCGCCATAGCCATATCCTTGCTCCTTGATACACTGCTACCAGCTTCGCGAATGGCGCCACGTGGACTGGCCCATTGACAAGCATCATGCATACACGGGAAGAAAAAACTCCCCTGCACCTGCCGCCATAGCTCCCCCTTCGTTCTCTTCGTCTTCGTCGCTCTCCTTAGTCTCGAGAGCCGTTGAGGACGTTGAGGACGGAGGTGGGACGAAGAACCATTCTCCCATAGCTGGGGAAGGGAGCAGCGCCGTCGGGCGGGACAAGCACGAGAACGAGTAGAGCGAGGGAGAGGACAAACAGGAAGAGGAGGAGGAAGAAGTACAGCCATGCTTCCTTCTTTCGATCCAATGGTGGCACCAACCTACGGAACAAAATTTGTCTATCTATAATCTATCTATAAGAGACCTTTATTTTCTTAACAATACTTTTTAAAACAGTCTTCCATAAGAGAAGATTCGGTGTGTTTCACCGACAAGAAGAATCCGGCATAAAAGAAGAGGAGCATTTTCACCGATGCATCTATCTATTGACTTCCTTCTTCGTCCCTCCTCTCCTCTCCTCTCCCATCTATTCATCCATCCGTTTTCCGCTCAAGTGAAGGGAGGGCAGCTAAACCGACGATCAAATGTTGTCCACGTGGTCTCTCTTGGTCTGCCGAAGATAAACCATTACTGTACACGTGGCCTCACACGATCTGCCGAAGATAAACCATTATTGTACACGTGGCCTCGCACGATCTGCCCAAGATCAAACCGTTCTCCACTTGGCCTCCAACAGGTCTACATACGGACCATAGCTTTAGAAGCCCAAAGACGATCATAGCAGCAGCGATCTCAGCACAGGATTGGAAAAGAACTGGACCTGGTTCGGCTTCTTACAGACCTGGAACGAGAAAAAAGGCATAGCAAAAATCTGGTAAAAACGGGGTTGGAAAAGAACTGGACCTGTCCTTCGGGACATCCGTTAAAATTGGAACGATACAGAGAAGATTAGTATGGCCCCTTTCAAAAAAAAAAAAAAAAAAAAAAAAAAAAAAAAAAA